GATATTTTTCGATTACCAAAGAATCATTTAGAACTAGTTTGTCCTGCACAATTCTCTACAAAAACTGAAGCGTAATGTCTAGAAGATAGACTTTTGGGGACCAGGAACTGTATCTTTCTATTGCTGTGTGCGCAATACCACACATTTTGACTTGTTCATCGTAGGCACTTACTAAACCCTTTTTGAATGAATTAATAAATGGATAATGAAAATATGACAAGCAATGTTTCTTTTTATCAAGATAACAGGTTCAGATGTTTAGAGATCTATGGTAAATAAGGTGGTAAGGGGAGAAACCCTAAACAAATGAATAATTATAGGGTAAAAATGGAAGCCAGTTACCACAGTTCACAAAGTCAAAACACCCAAAAAGAGAAATGTGAAAAGTAAGATCCCTTGATATTCAAATGTATTATGGTACTGGTTGCTAAGACTCAGATCTACTGAGCAAAATCCTTTCTAGCAAATTCTCTTTCTACTTGCTAGCACAGATACAGGTGTCATTAGAAGTTGGTGGTAACGGAGTCTACTATGGTATAAGCAAAAAACTTTGTTACTTCTGTAAATCATTCTCAATCTAAGTGAAAAGAGAAGATCAGCACATCTACTTAATCAGTAGAAGATAGAAGCATGTACATAATACAAACAATTCTGCAGGAAAGCATATTAAAGAGCTACCACAACCACCAATTAGCAATGAAATATTGCTCTGTAGGGACTTAGAAAATTAATAATAAAGGGAATTCAATCTTCTTTAATATATGTTTATTTAGAATAATATAGAAAGATTTTCATTATTAGTATATATCCTCAAACACTAAATTTGTCACCATCGGATAGAGTATTAGTTTCCTATTGTTGCTGTAACAAAGTATCACTAACTTTGTGGCTTAAAACAACATAAATTTATTATCTCACAGTTCTGGAGGTCAGAAGTCTGAAATTGGTTTCACTATGCCGAAGTCAAAATGTCAGCAGGGCTAGTTCCTTCTGGAGGCTCTAAACTAAAACCAAACCTGTTGCTGTCGAGTCAACTTGGACTCATACCAACCTTGTAGGACAGAGTAGAACTGCCCCATAGGATTTCCAAGGTTGTAAATCTTTACTGAAGCAGACTGCCACACCTTTCTCCCATGGAGCAACTGGTAAGTTTGAACCACTGACCCTCGGTTAGCAGCTAAGTGCTTCACCACTGTGCCACCAGGGCTCTAGAAGGGAAGAATTCCAGCCTTTTCCAGCTTCTAGAGGCTGCCTATACTACTTGGCTCATGGTCGTTTCTCCATCTTCAAAAGGCGTTACTCCAACATCTGCTTACATCATCACATCCCCTCTTTAACTCTCCCTGCCTACTTCTTATAAGGACCCTGTGATTACATTGGGCCAGCCCAGATAATCCAGGATGATCTTCCTGTCTCAAGATCCCTAACTTAATCACTCCTGTTATGTAAGGTAGCATATTCACAAATTCTGGAGATTAGGACATGGACAGTTTTGGGGGCCATTATGCTGTCTACCACAGTTAGATTATTATTAAAGAATTCAGTTAAATGTGAGGAAGGTAATAAAATGAAGAAAGTCTCCTTGTAACAACAACCAAAAAAGAACGATTGCTATGAAGTTCTTTCAATACCTCCCTGGCATTTGGTCCAGTTTTCAGTTAGCAAGTAAGAAGTATAATAATGCCATAGGGGAATAATATAATTCAGTGTCTGAAGATCTGGAGATGTCCTTCAAAAGGAAAGTTCTCCAACTAATAAATAGCTATGAAGAAGGGAAATACTATTTCATTTTTACAATAGGTGGCTGCTTCAGGAAAGAATCTTTATTTTTTAAAGGGATCCAAAATCTAAAATTATAAATAAAAAAGCATTAGCAAAAGCATCCAGTCTGCAAAGGGCACCAAGAAATCAGCCATGGCAACTGGCAAACGACAACAGCAAACAGCTTTAGCCATCCATTTTCCATTTATTGGAACATAGAGTCAGCATGAGGCTTTGATAATCTCCACAGAGTGGGGTAATAATATTGAGACTGTCAATACCCTGCTAGAAAAAAGAATGCAAGGGAAGAAGTCAATGGATCCAAGAGTTTGATATATTGAGAAACAAGAAACCAACTGTGGCTGGAATTTTTTGTCATTCTGTAACAGAAATAAAATCAGAAACTTGAGATTATACGCTGCTGGTGGCATTCTGACTGAAAAAGCCTCTCAGTGTGAGATTTACTAAGTGCCTCTTGCCTGAGGACAAATTCGAACCAAGAGATAACCTAGCATTTCAGACAGTATCATCTCCACAAGGAAGAAAGCTTAGGGAAAATAAAGTCAGCCGTGGCTAAAGATGTGCTTGAAACTGAGAAACAAGGCCAAAATAAGTCCAAACACTTGTAAAATATCTTTACATAAATGCATGGGCAAAGTTAGTTAGAGAATATATACAACTTAGGTCACCAAATCTTTGCGTGTATATAAGGTTTTCACATATTTTCCTTTCTTTGTGAAAACAATGTCTACATATTCTTAATCAAGCAGTGCAAACATTATAATGAATTATAAGTGCCCTTCACCCTTACTTTTAAGGATATAGATGTTTCATTCGGTGGGATTGCAGCTCTGTGGGAAAGTGGGTGGGAAAACAAAAACAATTTTTTAGTATATATATATATTTATCTTTGCATATCTTTGTCCATGACTTTAACAATAACCTCTTGTGATCTTAAAGAGAAGGGAAGACTGTAAGTAAGAAGGCAGGATTTGGAATCAAATCTAAGATTGAAATCCAGCCCTGTAGTTTAAAATTTTTCAAACCCGTATTTCTCATTTGTAAAGTATGGTTAAAGCCACATTGACAAAAGGAAAAATAAAAATAAATAGGTTGCATGTTACCTTATAACTTCTGAACAAGAATTGTGATCTCATTCAGTACTTGAAACAAAAAGCTAGAATAATTTTTATTCTTTAGTGGAGATTGATTTTCTTATACGACTTATTAAATAAAATTATTTTTTAAAGGCCTTTGTTTTAAACACATTTTTGCTTTCATTTTTCCATTTATCAGTATCATATTGATGTAAGTAATGGAAATGAGTATCTGAAAAAGTACTTTCCCCACGTACTGTAAATCTTATTTCCTATGTGTATCATAGGAGACAATGTCATAAACTTTTATAGCTGGTGGAGACTTGAATATAATTATTCCAGTTTCCTCATTTAGATGAGATATGCAAGACTTAGAAATGTTACCAATTTCCCCTGTCGTCCAGATAGCAACTCCAGAGTCAATTACGCAGCCACAGCCTTCTGACCTCCGGTCCAGGGCTTTTCACACAGCAAGGCTGCTGCTTTCCTGTGAGAGATTGCTGTCTAACGACTATCCTTACTGACAAATTGTGTGTGTGTGTGGAGTTAGAGAGCATTATTTATTTCCATAGAACAAATTGGAGTGCCTTTGAAGATGTGAACTCTTGTACATCCTGCCTAACCGAGGGACCTAAGCTGGAGTGTTTATGTCCCTTCCTTTCACCTCAAAATCTTGGTCAGCAATATACACTAGCAAGTACATCATTTAGGACATTGTTTCTACAAGCGGTTGGTTTAAGAAGACTTATGCTTTCCTAAGAATTCAATTTCTAAAAATATTGACTGAGAGTTTATATGTACACTGAAATTTAAACCTTTTATCTTTACTTGGGGCCACAATAACTTTATTATACTGAGCTGTCTTAATAAACAGGTACTTATAGAAGACAATAAGCTTGTCAATATGATATTATTTCATAAATTAGATAAAATCTTTTGCTCCATTATCTCAAGTTCAGAAAATGTATTTAAAGTTAATAATAAGGTTACAGGAACTATTAGAAAGCAGATAAAATAACAGTTTGCAAAATTTGCTGACATTTCAGATATTCCTCCTATTTCCTCCACATTTTCTTTGTTGTGTTATAAAGTACTGAAAAAAAGTCCAGTTATTTTTTTTAATTACATTTTCTTTGATACTTGACATTTATGATATTCCTGAAATAGATGTTTTGTGAGATAAGTAGTTGCTGAGTAAATCTTCTTTAAATCAGTTGACTTCAAGTCAACTCTGATTCACAGCGACCCCATATGTGTCAGGGTAGAAATGTGCTCCACAGGATTTTCCATGGCTTTTTTTTTTAAAGTAGATTGCCAGGCCTTTCTTCTGAGGCACATCTGGGTGGACTGGAACTTCCAACCTTTCCATTAGCAGCTAAGCACATTAACTGTTCGCACCAACCAGGGATTCCTAAACCTTCTTTAGGTTTCCTAAAAAAAGGACGGAAAGATGCTTAAAAAGGGTGAAGGGTGCATTCAAACTATCAATTATTACCACATCTTCAAATTGAGCTTCAAAAATATTTTCACCTTCAAAAGGTAAATTATTAATTTACAGATCCTCGAGAGAAGAAGGGACATTTATTTTAAGGATGTAATACTCCTTTAGTATTTCCCAGTCTTCAAAACAAACAGACAATGAACTCTTTTTGGAGGGACTTACAGATTCATAACCAATTTTTTACTGGGCTCAGTTCTGAATTGGAGCAAGAATAGGAAATAAATTCTATGAGGATTTAATAATCACTTCATAATTTATAAAACTAGCCTAAAAAGTCCAAAGTGAAATATTAAAAAACAAAAACAAAACTGTAACTCCATCTATTTTTCCCCTTTTCCAGCAAATGTCCATTTCTGGCATCCCTATTTCTGCTTGGAAGTGGGACAGAAAGACTGAGAATGGGACAAGAAGAGATAACAGGTAACATACCCCTAAAGATATCCTGGATGAAAAAGTGAGGAGGGAAACACGGTTAGAGAGTGTTAAGGCTGAGAAAACAACGCAGCTGAAAAAGCCTGAAAGAGCAAGCCCCTGAGCAGTTTCACTTCCTCAAGGCGCCGAGCAAAACCCAGCCCTGGCCTTGCGGCCTGAGCTCAGCGCCCGATTTCCGGAGACTTGGCCGTGGGCGCCCGGGTGGGGAGCAGATTGAGGAGGGGCGGGGGCTTAAAGAAGAACTCCCGGAGAGTCTCTCTGGCCCCGAGTGCCCGGGTTTCGCCGGCACCTGTCTACAGGCCCCTTGGCTTCAGTCGCCGCAATGCTGCCTGCAGCTCCAGGAAAAGGGGGTGGGAGCCGGGACAGGCCCCCCTGCGGCCCAGTGCCCCCAGGTGCGTGGTTGCGCGTTTGGAGAAATGGTACGGGGAGACTGAACCCTCAGGGCTTTGCGAGACTAAGGGTCATCCATTAGGCAATAACTGTTCTGCGGCCACTGAGGCCAGTGCGCCTTTGGGGACCATGGCCCTCCTCTTTCCTCTTTCTTCCAATTGCTGTTTTTGTCGGATCCGCCCGGCAGCCAGGAAGGTTCTTCTGTTCCATTGGCTTCTTTGACGAGAAACCTGGACCAGGTGGGCGCTTTCTCTGTGTTCTGGCCAGCGCAAAACCACCAACGTCTGCAGCTTTTGATTAGCTGAAACTTTAAGAACGCTAGGTCGGGGTCTGATATTTTCTAAAATCCTCATGGGACAAATTTTAAAATTATACGCGTGTTTTAAATTTATGTGTGTTTAGTTATGAAGAGGCCCCCTGGTAGCGCTTGGCTGCTAACTAAAAGGTCGGTGGTTGGAACTCACCAGCCTCTCCGCGGGAGAAAGATGTGGCAGTCTGCTTCCATAAAGATTTACAGCCTTGGAAGCCCTATGGGGTAGTTCTACTCTCTCCTGTAGGGTGGCTATGAGTCTGATCCACTGACAGTAGTGGGTTTGGTTTTTTTTGTTTAGTCCTTAAACTTTTGGCCCATTTGTAGAATTGCTAGTTTACCTGCCTGGTGTTACAAACTCCAACCTGGCAAATTACTTGGATGGACGGTGACAGGCTTACTAGGTCACTTTATGTAGAACCTCTGCCAGCACCTTCCCCCACTCATTCTAAAAGCTTTACTATCTTGTTAAGGGAAAAAGAGTAAATTTGGTTGAATATATACATGGTTTTACAGCTTAAATAGACCTTCAGGTGGATATATTAACTTCTTTTTAAAGTATTTAAAATGCGTTTGGGAATTGTATAATGACTATAAAAAGTGTTCAATTTTGAAGGAAAAGAAAGCTTCCACTTGGGTATGCAGATTTCTCATGGTGATGAATGCAACAAGAAAATATATTCTGACTGGCATTCTATTAATTTGTTGAATAGAATTAAAGTTCTCATGACCTACTAGCATTTTTTAGATATTGCCATTTTGACTTTAGTGGCTTCTCTTGGCTAGTATATCTTTTTAAACAAATAAATTTAAAGGGACTTTAAAATAAGAAGTATATTTGTGACCATAGAAAATGACAAGAAAGGAATTAGAACCCATGATATATTAATATGTTAACATTTTAAACATTGAACATTGACATTCTTGAAAACTGTCTGTGGCTCTGATGGGCTGCAGGAGAGTAGCCTTTGCTAACATCTATAAATTAACCCAACACGTCTTTTGAACTTCGAGCAAGTTAGCTGTTTTGTAACTTTATCTTAATAATTTAATTAAATACAATGAGGTATAATTTGTTTTAAACTTCTAGATTAAACAGTTTAGTTGAAATATGGCTTTTACTTCAGTTAATACTCAAGCAATACTTTGAGACTCTTGTTTTTGTGAAAATCCTAGACAGATGTGAACTAACTTTTATATCATTCTGATTATTCCTATTTCTTCTGTGCATCCCACCCCCCACGCTTTCCTTTGGCACTCTCAATATGGTATTTATCACTTGCTTGAATTACTTTACATTTGGCCAAGATAATGAAACTTTCCACCACTAATCTGTCAGTTTGTTGTACTGTGGTAGCATGTAGGTAGCTGTGATGCTGGAAGCTATGCCATTGGTATTTCAAATACCAGCAGGGTCGTGCATGGTGGACAGGTTTCAACAGAGCTTCCAGACTAAGACAGATTAGGAAGAAGGAGCATGATGATCCACTTCAAAAAATTTTAGCCAGTGAAAAACGTGATGAATAGCAGTGGAATGTTGCTGGGTTTAGTGCTACGAGTTGAGGACCTCAGGTTGGAAGGCATTCAGAATACAACTCAGGAAGAGTTGCCTCCTCAAAGTAAAGTCGACCTTAATAATGTGGATGGAGTAGAGCTTTTGGGACCTTCATTTGCTTATGTGGAAAGACTCAAAATAAGAAAAAACAGCTGAAAAGATCCATTAATATTTTGAAAGTGGAATGTATGCAGTATGAATCTAGGAAAATTGAAAGTTGTCAGAAATGAAATGGAATGCATAAAGATCGATATCCTAGGCATTAGTGATCTGAAATGGACTGCTATTGGCCATTTTGAGTCAGACAATCATATGGTCTACTAAGATAAATTGAAGAGCAATGGTGTCACATTTATCGTCAAAAAGAACATTTCAAGATTTATCCTGAAGTACATCACTGTCAGTGATAGGATAATATCCATATGCCTACAAGGAAGACTAGTTAATACAACCGTTATTCAAATTTACACATCAACTACTAATGCCAAAGATGAAGAAATTGAAGATTTTTACCAACTTCTTTAAAAGAGATCAAACATGTGGTCAAGATGCATTGATAATTACTGGTAATTGAAATGTGAAAGGTGGAAACAAAGAAGGATTGGTAGTTGGAAACTATAGCCTTGGTGATAGAAAGGACATTGGAGATTGCATGATAGAATTTTGCAAGATCAATGACTTTTTCATTGCAAATAACCTTTTTTCAACAACATAAAAGGCGACTATACATGTGGACTTCGCCGGATGGAATGCACAGGAATCGAACTGACTGCATCTGTGGGAAGAGAAGACAGAGAAGCTCAATATCATCAATTAGAAAAAGGCCAGGGGCCCACTATGGAACAGACCATCAGTAGCTCATATGTGGAAATTATCAAACAATATCGTTAATATCACATGCAAGAAAAATTTTGCTGAAGATCTTTCAAAAGCAGTTGCATCAGTACATCGACAGGGAACTGCCAGATTCTGAAGAGGACTTCGAATGAAGTATATCATTGCTGAAGTCAGATGGATATTGGCTGAAAGCAGAGAATACCAGAAAGATGTTTACCTGTGTTTTATTGACTAAACAAAGGCATTCAACTGTGAGGATCATAACAAGTTATGGATAACATTGCAAAGAATGGGAATTCCAGAACACTTAATTGTGCTCATGCAGAGCCTGTATATAGCCCAAGAGTCCGTTGTTTGAAGAGAGAAGGGGATTCTGAATGGTTTAAAATCAGACAAGGTTTGTGTCAGGGTTGTATCCTTTCACTATACTTATTTAATCCATATGCTGAGGGAATAATCTGAGAAGCCGGACTGTATGAAGATGAACATGGCATCAGGATTTGAGGAAGACTCATTAGTAACCTACAATAAGCAGACGACACAGCCTTGCTTGCTGAAAGCGAAGAGAACTTGAAGCACTTACTGATGAAGCTCAACGACCACAACCTTCAGTATGGATTACATCCTAACATAAAGAAAACAAAAATCCTCACAACTGAACCAGTAAGCAACATCATGATAAATGGAAAAAAGATTGAAATTGTCAAGAATTTCATTTTACTTGAATCTATAATCAACGCCCATGGAAGCAGCAATCAAGAAATCAAATGACATATTGCATTAGGCAAATCTGCTGCAAAAGACCTCTTTAAAGTGTTGAAAAGCAAAGATGTCACTTTGAGGACTAAGGTGCCCCTGTTCCAAGCCATAGTAGTTTCAATCTCCTCATATGCATGCAAGAGCTGGACAATGAATAAGGATGAACAAAGAAGAACTGATACCTTTGAATTATGGTGTTGGCAAAGAATATTGAATATACCATGGACTTCCAGAAGGACAAACAAGCCTGTCTTAGAAGAAGTACAGCCAGAATATTCCTTAGAAGCAATGATGGCGAGCGAGACTATGTCTCACATACTTTGGACGTGTTATCAAGGGCGACCAGTTCTGGAGAAGGACATCATGCTTGGTAAAGTAGAGGGTCATTGAAAAAGAGGAAGACCATCAATGGGATGTATTGACACAGTGTCTTATGTACAACAGAAAGAAACGTTGCCCTATCCTGCATCATCCTCATGATTGCCGGCATGTTCAAGTCCATGGTTGTGGCCATTGTGCCAATCCATTTCACTGAGGGTTTCCCATGCCCTCATTGTCTCTGTACTTCACCAAACACTATGTCCTCCTCTAGTGATTGATCCCTCCTGATGATGTGTCCAAAGTAAATCATTAGTTACCATCAAGTCATTTCTGACTCATGGGGACCTTATGTTGCCAATGGTCTTGACGGTGGCACAGAACCGGGCAAAGTTTCCTTATGTAATACATAATGTTGTCAAGAGTGAGAACAGTAGCTTTTACTTTATAGAGCTGTTTTGAGAATTATAAGAGAAAGTGCATGTGAAGTGCTTTTCAGAGTGTCATAACAATTGATTAATACATGTTAGGCCATTGGTCAATTGTGTCACATTTACATATAAAGGATATGATTTTTATGGTGAAACTGCCTCATATTGACTTGGGGGTAAATTTAATGAATGAAGCTATCAAGCTTCTACATCAAAAAATTTAAGGGGTATGGCTTCCTATAGAAAGATACTGCCAATAGTTCTGACAGAAGAAAAAGAAATCCACAATGAGAAGAACTAAGGATATATTGATTAAAAGGGCATTAAACTGGAGCAGTTATGGGAAAGAATAAAACCGAAATTTAATAGGGCAAGAAAAAGAGTATACTTTATTTTCTTATATCACAGAATACCAGTGGTGACTAATTTAAAAATGTATGTAAGTATGCGTGAAAAAATAAGTATCAAACAGAAAATTATGGGACATGGCTTCAAATTATAAGAAGATGAAGAATCTATTTTACCAAAATATTTACTGCTAGATTCCAAAAGTTTCAGTGTGAAGTGAGGAACACCATTCCTACCAAATGTTTTAAGAATTGGGTACCACATGTTTTAAGAATTCAAATGGCTGTTACTTACTCACCTAAGTTACCATTGCTATTTTATTGTCTTATTCATAGATACAGCTATAAAATAAATACAGGAAGGAAAATATTCCTGAAGTTATTGTTAAAAATGCTGAGTATAAAGAATGATACCTATATTTTACCACAGACGTTGATGTAGTCC